AAAAACATCGGCTTAGTACAATACAAGAACAACTATACAGAGAGATAAATTATTGTGCCTGCTTTTCTTCCCCTTTCTCTCTTCCAAGTTAGAAAACACCAATTTTCTTTCCTTCTCAGCAACTGTGGACAAATCTTTCACCGGGCTTCGCTTATTTCTGATGAGATGGGCTTCGCCTCCAAATGATCCCCCCAACATTCAAAAATCATTTTGGCACCCTGGCAAAATCTGACCTTGTTGTAGCCTGTGAAATCCAGCTGGGCTCTCACCGGGGCAGAAGATGCAACAGCAGCAAAGACCAGGTGGGGAAACTGGAAGACAGGAAGGAAGGAAGGAAGATCACAAAGAGAAGGAAAAGTATTTCCCCTTGAGATCTTGGACTCTGGGTTAGGGAAGAGAGGTAGCCTTCCAACTAACTTAGTTTCCCTGGCCCTTGACCTCCATAACATCCTGTTTCTGATGTGCAAAAAAAGCCATCAAGGTGCCCCCTCCCTTCAAGATTCCAGTGTCTGCAAGAAGACCCCGATTCCCTATTTCAGTTGGTTTCCAGATCCCACCTTAAGCCTCAGCCAGGCCGCCAAGGAACCAGGGTACGAGCCTCCAAAACAAATCCAGGTGTGATTCGCCGCCAAGTTGTACTTCTGGGTGATGAAATGGTGGAAGGCCACGAGATCAGACAGACTGAAAGGGAGAAGGTTTAAGAGAGTGTTACCAGTGAGTGTTACCCCCTCCCCACAATCCTTTGCCCGGCAGCCTGGACAAGGTGTCACTTTCTACACAGGCTTACGGCTGACCCATTGACTCCAAGGCACGGCAAAGCGGAAGCGATTCTAAACGTATCCAGAAGAAACAGATACAGGTTTGTCTTTGCAGCGGGGCTGGCCCAAGCTCTTTCCACTCCCTGAAATGGGGTCTAAACTGTGTCTGAGCTCAAGCCAATACAGGGAGTCCTTGGGTTACGTCCACTCGGTCAGAGGCTGCTCAAAGTTATGACAGCGCTGAACCTGGGGGACCTACGACCAGTCCGTCGCAGCATCTCGTGGTCATGTCATCACAATTTCCGACCTTCCCTGCTGGCTTCTGACAAGCAAAGTCAATGGGGAAGCCAGCAGGAAGTCGGAAGTTGTGGCCACGTGAGGTCCTCATTTAACGACGGCAACTGGGACTGCCAGAACTGTGATATTGCGCTTTACGACTGCATCACTTAGTGACAGCCATTCCAGTCCTTATTGCTGTTGTAAGCCAAGGATGACCTGTACTTGTTAGCCAAGCCGCATGTCTGAAACACCCATTTCTGCCCATCAATTCAGGCTGTTGCCTGAAAATGACTAGGGAACCCCTTTGGATGTTGAAGACAAATTGTTGATCCTTCCTAGTCAAGAGCAGTCTCTCTCAAGAATGTTTCCTTTGCACCTCGCTGAAACCTCCATTCCCAACCCAACCGTTTCCTCAATTTTGGGGACTGCAACTCCCATCATCCATAGTCACTGGTAGTGCTGAGAGGGGATGGGGATCCTATCTGAAGGATCTCAAACTAAGATGACCCTGAACGTCACACCCCGCAGGAACCTCACAGAGGTCCGTGCCGTTTTCCACAGCTCTGCTCTAGCACGAGATTAGCATCGAATGATGCATTAAAAGTAGCACCGAACTGTCAAGCAATCTCAGCTTTTCATTTCAAGAAGCACCCATGTTGTTTTTACATTTATTATGATCACTTTATTGTTCTATTTTCACAAGGTTTTCCTACTCATGTATATTTTCGAAAAAGAATAACCCACTTTAAACGAGGCACATCAAGCTTCTAGCCCTCAAGGCAGCAAAAACAGACTTGAATATGTCTAGATTCTGCCTGAGGAAATCTCAGAGGCCCGAGGGAAAGCTAAATGGGTTTTTCAGTGGTCAGAATAAAACCAGGCAACTTGGCATCCAGCAGATATGCCACCCTTCAGATCCGATCACCACCAACTAACATGGTTAATAACAAGGAATTGGAGAGTTATAGTCCAAACATCTGGAGATCAAAGTTCCAGTTCCTTCTACCCACATAGTTAGAACATGACACATAAGTCAAAAGATGCCCAAAAAATTTGGCAAATACAGACAGGAACAGAGAAACACAGGGATTTCTAGCTGACTGAATGAACGGTCTAGCAAACTCCAGAATGACGAAGCAGAGCAGGGCCAGTATCTTGCCCCCCCCCCGCCTGGGAACGGGTGGATTTTGGGCAACTCACGCTTGCTGACTGGACAAGAATAGAAGGTTCTGATCCTGCAAACCATCATGGTTGAGGCTGGACCCGTAGAAGCGGTGCTCCAGAGCAACCAGGAGGGCTCCGTGCTTCTCGGCCAATTCCACGTGATGCCCTGAAATCAGAAAAAACGCAAGAGGAAGATGGACAGTCCACCAGGGTCCTCAGCCAGCCGAGGAAGCAAACTGCAGGCCCTGCAACTTATAGTAGTAGTAGCCCCAACATCTGGAGGGCTTCCCTTGCCCCCACAGCTGCACTCCGAATGCTGTGGATCTGATCTTAGAGAAGGGCCATCCACAGCTGGCAAGAACACCGGTGGCCCTGAATGTTGTCTTTTTGCCACCCCGGAACCTGCGCCACCAAATTGGAGTGGCAAGCTGCCAAGAAAGGGAGGCACATCTGACTGTTCTCCAGCAAGAAAAAGGGGAAGAAGATCCAGAGGGTGCACACGCGTGGGGCAAAAATGCTCCAGATGGACAGAATCAAGTTTGTAGAAATTCGAACGCTAACAGATGCAGAGGGAGTATTTTCTTCCCACCCACCCTCGATGACTCTATTAGGCCTCCTCTGCAGCACAGGAGGGGGGGTCTGCAGGGAGGGAGTCAAAAAAGTCAAGATGGCGGCCACAATGACATGATCAAGGCCGCAGAGCAGTGAGTCTGGACCTTTCCCAACTTCGCTCCTTCCAAGGGGCAGGAAGCCAGGCTGGATGCTCTGCTCCGGAGCGTGATCTCGTGGCTCCAACCAGCCTTCCTCTAAAACCTCCCACCGCTCAGCCCAGCTCACTTACCAACCACTACAGAGAACGGCGAGAGGGCGGATTCCCCCCCAATGTAGAGGAAAACGGGCCCCGTGGAACGCTTCCAGTATTGCTCATTTATCCAGAATTGCTGAATTTCAGAGAAAAGACAGAAGAGAACCAAATCACTGAATATAACAACAGAACTCAAGAAAGCCGCCACGCTGCGAATGAAAAGTGTGGGCTCCGTGCAGTTTTGCATCCTGTGCAGTATCTCCCCCACCAAGAATTCTCTGCGCGGGGGGCTCCCCTCTTCTGGAATAGTCTATTATATAACTATATTGTGTGTGTGGGACATTGGTCATTCCCAAATGCGGGACAGGAGGCTATAAACAATGTGTTCCAACTTTAGCAACTTTAAAATATGTGGACTTCAACTCCCAAAATTTCCCAACCAGCCCAATTCTGGGAGTTGAAGTCCACACATCTTAAAATTCAGTAGCATGCTGGCTGGGGAATTCTGGGAGTTGAAGTCCATGCATCTACAGCACTATGAACAGCCAGGGCAGGTCTGAACGCATAAGGCTGCCAGTTCTGCATTGCTCTTTTTCACCTGGTTAAACGTGCGTCTGTGTTGCCAGTCGAAGTGATCCAGAGGCTGGGGGATGGTGCCCCGCAATGGTGGGATCCAACCTGGCCCCGCTGGTCTTGGGCCCTGCAGCTGCCAGCGGGAACGGGCTTCATTCATGGCTTGCTCTTCCCGCTGCTGCTGGACACGCTGGCGGAGGAGCCAGAACATTCTGCCTACGGGGAAAGCAGAGGGGAGAAAAATAGGATTTTTTAAAACTGAACATTCTACGATGCTTCCAACAATCCAGTTAATCAACTCTGGGAAGTTCAGAATAAAAACAGAAAAGAAACTGTTCCAAAGGAACAGGGCAACACCCGGCATAGTGTGTAAGTACTCTGTTCGGAAGTGAATTCAGCGTCAATCTTGAAAACTGCTTCCTATGCACTCCTCTGTTTTCTGCAAAAAGAGGATCCACCTCACCAGTTCACAGGAAAGCCATAAAAAGATTGAAACCGCATCCATCTTAATGAACTGGAAGATAAATGGGGTTCTGAAGTGAACAGAATCCAGCTGCAGCAATTTCTTTTAATTTGACCCCTTAGCCTTTCCATAAATCTCGTTAAAGAAGAATCTGGGGCAATCTGAGTTGAATCAGCTACCAACTGCCTGACCTGTTGTGAGAAAAATGCCCACCACCCCAGACCAAACACCTGTCTGGTCACCCTCACATGCCCACTTAAAATGGAAACTCTTCCAGACTTTCTGGAATGCCACAAATGAAGCGCCAGCCTCGTCAACCACCTGGAAGCTTCAGCTGGTTCAGAATGGGGCAGCGTGGGCCGTGACGGACATGCCTCGGTATGCCCGCGTAACTCCTCTGCTTCACAAGCTGCATCGGTTGCTGGTTTGCTTTTGGGTGCAATTCAAGGTGCTGGTGGTTAGCTATGAAGTCCTACATGGCAGAGGGCCTGGTTACCTGAAGGACCTCCTGTCTCCCATAACATCTGCCTAGCCAACTTGATCTCGCAGGGTTGGCACGCTCCGGGTTCCCTCAATGAGGAACACCATCTATTGGGACCCTGGAAGCGTGCCTTCTCTGTAGCGGTGCCTACCCTCTGGAACAAGGTTCCCCCCAAGGTTTGGATGGCCCCCATTCTTCTCCCAAGCCTTTGGCATGAGAGAACGAGACCCCTTGCTTCATTGCGTTTGCCATCTTTTTTCTTAATCTTTCATGTTTTATTGATTTTACTGTAATTTCTTTGACTGGTGTGAGCTGCCCAAAGTCGTTGAGAGTCGGGTGACAGGCAAGATTAACAAATTATCATCATCTCTTGCTCAAGTGTGTTCCAGTGTCAAGGCAGCCATGGACAAGGCCCACCTCACCTTCCGGCCCATGACTTTCACGCACGGATGGGGGGACATTCATGCTCTTGCGGGACTTTCATGCTCTTGCGGGAGAAATTTTGGATACGGGGAGATCAGGCCATCCCTGGGCACTGCAAGGCCAAAAGACCAGACATCATCTTGGAGCGCTTCCTTGCCAATTTATTTATCCAATGCTTTTGCATACATAAATACTAAAGTGTTTTATTGATTTGTATAAATAAAAGGTTCTTTTTATTCACAAAGAGTCAGCCAGGTTTCTAATAAATAAATACTGCCCAAACTCAAGGTGGTTTCCAGTGAGATCTGAAGGCTGGCTTCTCCGAACACCGTGTCTTGTCTGCCCAGCCACTGCAGTCTGTAAACTATCTTGATGAATTAGCTTACATTATCCCAAGGCCAAGCTTGGCTTGTTCCATAAACCATAGTTAAATCATGGCTTAGATCTTTTGGCATTCGGGGTGTGTATGCTCAGACATATTTGCCTCTGGCAAGCAGCCAGTTCAGGCATTGGTCAACCCTTTCTGCACACCTGGAAGTCAATCCTTTCTCAAGTTACAAGTAACTTTATCTCCATCTTCCCTTGAAGATGCGGTAGAGGCTCTTTTAAAGCTGCTTCTGCAAGCAAAACAGAGTGAGGAAGCCGGTTCTGGTTTCTTGCTTCTCAGAAGCCAGAGTCATCAAAAGAGTAGTCACAAGACACCCATTTCCTGACAATGATTTACAAATAGCATCAGCCACCCACACGGAGGCTGCTGCTTTTTTCTTTAGCCTCTGGGGACTGTGCAGAATAAATTCAGAATAAATTGTGCAGAAATAAGTTCAAAATAAACTTGCAGGCTAAACTGTATGACCGACTGAACTCAAAGGTCCTGGGGTGGGGGTGGGGGAATGTCTTTTCCCCTTAGGGGAGAACGACAGGGCGCTCTGGGTATGCTCAAGTGAGCAAATTACCTCCGACTGACCAAAGATTCAAAAGTCTGGCAAAAGGAATCACAGCAGCAGGATAAAACCTTCAAATGCAGGAGTAGTCTACCATAATCCCATACCACTTAGGAAAGAGGAGCGGATGCTTTTACAGCTGCACAACGGAGCCTCCGCTGGCCGGCACACTCTACCCCTGAATGGGATCTGCCCGGGCAGGTATGTAATTAAGCAGGCTGAAAGGGATGCGTCCCGGGGCCTCGCCTGCCCCTTTCCCCCCAAATACCGAACGTCCCCGGGTAGCGGGGACCTGGCCTGGATCCTGACCCCCTCCTTGCCCCAACCGGAGGCCAGCGCGCGGAGAGCAACGGGGCCGCCCCTCCCCGCGATCCGAGGGCCGCGTTTCCAGCAGAGCCTCCGCACTC